TCGGATTCGGATTCGGTCAAATGATTGATTAATTGATTGATTAATTTTTTGGACCAAATTTATTTGTTAATAGTAAATATTAACGTAAGATTATCCGCATTTGTAACGGATATGTTCCAATCCGATCCGTGTATTGACAAACTGCAATAACAGCCGCTCCACCATGGCCAAGTGCTCTTCCCACCATGGCCAAGTGCTTGCTCCACAAACAAGCAAGTGCATGCTCCACCATGGAGGGTGGAGGGTCGTTCACCTTCAAAGCTGGCTGCTATAAATATGTGCAGCAGCTGTTGAAGGAGAAGACACAACACCAACACACCAAAAACTGAAAAAACGTTGGCTATACATTGCACTCCCTCCTCTCAGCATTTTCATACGATCTTCTGAGTTTCTACTACTTTGTTCTGCATTATTTTAACTTCAAACAAAGCAACTGTAAGTGTGATTTGCTACCGAACTTTGTGTTCGCTGAAACACTGGGGTTTGACGTACCGCTACACCAGTGTGTGATTCGTTCTATCTTGGGAGGAAATAATCCATAACCTTGGATACTAGGAGGGGATTAAATTCCTTCAGGAAACACTGTGAATTCAGTGGGCTCGAATACGATTTACTGTTTTATTACGATAATTTATATTTCGCAGAATTATTATTTATAAATACAGCAATATTGGCGGGACTAACATGTACTTCTTACAGTTTGCAGATAATAACAGTCATCTCTAAAGTGTTTTGAAATATGAAGGTTTTGAAGAAAATTATTTTCATGAAGATTGCAATTAAAAGCTTTACTAAATTTAACAAAATTCGATATTGTTCTGATAATTTGTTTTGTTTTTTTCGTCTCGTGTAGTTTTTTCCTGGCAGATACATGCATAAATATGTGAGAGGCGATTTAAAGTACGGTTATGTAAGAGCATTAATTTGAATCACAGATTATGAAAATTAATATATAGTATCTTTTTTTATGCAGGCTAATTTGAGCTTCTTACTTTTGTATCTTCAAACCATTACAGTTGGTTATGTACTTTATTTTCTTGGCTACAAAATTAGGTTCATTATAGATAGTTATATGTTGTTGTAGGTCACTAACCTAATGGTGTAGATATGAGAATTATTCAGACAAATCAATTGACATATAAAAGATTAATGAAATGCTATAGGGACAAGAGCTTACATATGAAAAACTGAGCTAGCATCTTGGTGCTCCCTGGTTAGATTAATGCCCAATTATTAACAGATTTAAACTGAGAGATCCATGGAGAATAAATTAATATAGAGAAAAGATAAAAAGTTTGAGTCCTCACAGACAATCAATTGAATAACACCTGCAAAGACATGAAGAAATTAAATTGTGGTGAATCCTTCTTTTTGATAATTCCTTACAGATCATATGGAGGATGAAAAGAATGTTGTTAATTAAATGAATAAGTAAACAAACATGTAGTCCTTACCAAACGTGACTCCCCTATTCGGATAATAAAGAAGCTCAAACCCATAGATGATTGCTTGATGAAAATCAGAAAGAGAAATGTTGTTGTTATGTTTAATGTTAGGGCAAGAGGTCAGAGCTACAAGTTCCACTCTGCATCCATCACTGACTTCAGATACATTCATTTCTCCAATCTTTAAGTAAGTGTGTGCGCTTAATTTGCAGCCAGTAATTTCCAGAAATGTAGAGGTGGTCGTGTTAATAGCAAATGGACAGTTGAACATGAAAATAGGCTCTGCTACTCCAATATATCCATAATAATATGAGTAAAAGATACTACTATTGTATTGGTGGAATGTAAGATGAGGAGGTATTATAGAGCATATATCTTGTGTTTGTAAAGATGGATCTACAAGGTGAATTGTGTTGTTACCANCTGAAACTTAGATGTTGAGTTGAAATAATGTTTTTGTGATTTAACTAGTGAAGAAATTGTTGGGTTTTTTCTAAGGGTACGTGTGAATGGGGAATGGAAGAGGCGCCTCTTGGATTGTACCTTTTCATCCCACCCTTTTATTATCTACTAGCTTTAGGGTACGTGCGTTGCACGTGTAAGCTTGCTTATTAATTGATGGCTTGCACATACAGCTTCTTGGATGATGTCGATATAATGGTTTTGTTACCTTCACAAGCTAATTCATATCCTGGAAAACCGCAATATTGTGGATCGGTGTTTAAGCGAAAAGGGAAGCTTATGTTATGGATGTTGCCACAGGCAGAAGGGACACAATAGTGTTTGCTCTTCCTAGCATTGCATGTTTGCAGAAAGATGATGATGAATATTGCAAAAAGATGATTAATGGTTCCCCTAAACATTTGTGTAGTGTGCTTCTTTTCTTTTCCGATTTCCAAGTCCAAGAGAGAAAACATTTTGAACAGAAATTTGAGGCCCCTGAAAAGTTAAACCTACACACACTAATGAGAAAGCGGGTGTTTATTTATAGTATAGTATTGTATTGTGAACTGAGAATTCAAGTGTGTGGACTTATTCTTTAACAATTAATATTACTCCTCCGCTACTAACTAATACTAATAGTTATTTTGGCAAATTGACAAGTCATTTATTACATTTTTCTAATCAAGTTCCAATCAGTGTAGTGCTAATCAAGTGAGACATCGATCTAAGGTAGATGAGACGTATTCCGTATGGTTAAGTCATTTTTAAGGAGTATACAAAAATATTAAAAAGACATATAATTATTAGTCCTTCCTGAGAAAGTAACAAGGAAGTTCCTAGAGGAAGAGGAAGTCCTTCCCGTTTACCTATTTATTGCCATGTTTCCGTGTTGAGCTTTCTTATCTCCTCTCCTCTGTCAAATCATCTATTGGGGCCTTGAACTTTCTTCTCCCCATATTGCCAATTAGCAAATAAGCTAGTCTTGGGAGACTTATCTAGTCCACAAATATTCATTTCTCTGAAAAGTCATCACCAATATTCATTTGCGTGGAAAAGTTGGTTAGAAATAATTTGTGTTTGGTTAATTAATTTAAAAAATATTTTTAATCAACAATTAATGTTTGACCAAGCTTTTAAAAAGTGTTTTAAATGTATTTTTTTCAAAAGTGATTTCGAGGAGAAGCCCCTAATCAAAAATACCTTATACGTTCTAAAAGCTTGCCAAAATGAGAAAAAGTATTTTTGGCCTCCCAAAAAAACAATTGACCAAAAAGTAGCTTGGCCAAACAAGTTAAATTTCTAACACTGTTTTGAGTTCCATTTCTTTGAAAAATATTGGAAAAGAACACTTCAAATTGTCACTAGGGATTAGTTAAAAAATTAAGGCATATAATCAATGGAAATTTTACCTCCTATAACAAAATTTTACATCTTATTTATTATAAATAAATACCCTTTTAAAATATTATTTTTTATAGCTACATTTTAGTTTTTATAGCAAAATATGTATTTATGGTTACTTCTTATCGTTAAGCATTAAATACGTTGTGTAATATTTTTCTCTCTCCTGCTTTCTGTTCTTTCTCTCATAAGATCACCGTATAGTATCCAACTTCTCTCTCCACGATCTCTCTCTCTAGTCTCTACTATCTCTCTCTCACAACGCTAGTCTCTTCCCCATTCTATATCCACGATTCTCCACTGATTCATCTCCATTGTCTCTCTCAATTTTCAATATTTTTTGCTCCAAAAAGTTGTGGTAAGTGTTAAAGTTGTTAGATTTTTGCTGGTACTTTGCTTCTTCTGTTTCTCTTTACTATATTTTTTTTTATAAATAATCACCATTGTTATGCTTTCACCAGAAAATTCGAAATTTCATCTCCAATGGCTGATTCAACAACTCAGAAGAGGGTTACCCGATGTATACCCACCAAAGCACTCAATTTCGAATGACCATCTTTCGATTTACAAGTCACTCAAGCGAAACATGTATTTGCATGTTCAGCAGCAAATACATACATCAGAATACAGTTGGCTTGAGAATACAAATGAAAACACTTAGTTGAAATACATAACTAAAACTAGAACAACTAGTGCATTTTAAAAAGTTGTTGAATGAAATAAAATACATCTAAATACAACAGTCAAAAGTCACTGTAATAAGTATAATTGAGTTTGTTGAGTTATATCAGGAGTCTATCACATTAATTGATTCACTTAATATTTTTAAACAGCTGGAGAGACCTTTTTTCCGCAGATTTTCGTTACTGTTTTCACGAATACAGCTCGCGAATACATATGAATACAGTCTATGTTAGTTGGACTTTCCTGTTTTCCCCCGAGTTTTGCTACAGTACCTTGAATACATCGAATACACTCTATAATAAGTGAAAAAATAGCTATAGGAAGTAATTAAGTAAATGATACCAATAACAAATTAATAGCCACTAAATAATAGTGATTTCTGAAAATTTTTCTATAATCATATGGTATACCGGTGTGCTTTTTACAAAATTGTTACGTCTTTGTTTTTCACTGTAATTCACTTCTCCTTCCCGTCCCATGTCTCCCTAGTTAATAGGAAAAAAATAATATTAGACTCTTAAGAGCCCGTTTGGCCATGATTTCACTTTTTTTTCGAAATCATTGTTTGACCATAAATTTTTCAATTTTCACTTGAAGATATTTTGAAATTTTTGGAAAATTCGAAAAACCGCCGAAACCTGTTTTTCCAAATTTTCATTCAGTTCACTAACAAAAATTTAAAAACAACCCCAAAATTATATTTATGTCCAAACATAACTCTAATTTTCAAATAATATTTTCTTTTTCACTTCTTTTCGAAATTTTACAATTCTTATATCCAACGCCCGCTTAAGAATAATGAAATGCTAATTTGTACAGACAAATCCTACGAGCGTGCTAACGGAACAAGAGAGTAGTCAAGCCAAAAGTGATTAAGTAGGAGGTCTCACACTCAGAAATGGCTCCACACTGCTTTGGTGTGGTCAGGATGCTTCTGCAACGGCGAGATTTCTCCCTCCTCTGTGTGTATGTGTGTGTGTCAAGGATAAGAAAGTTAAAATTGGGAAGATTGTGAGAGAGAAAATTTTATAAAAATGGGATATCAAAATCAAGGAATGAAGTGGTTAGCTTGAATTGCTACAAAATGAAAAGTATTGTTAGGTCTGGGGGTTGAAAGTGTCTATAGAAAATGTTGTTAGTGCTCCTAAACCAAACTAATTCATTTATTTATCAAAAGCTAAATCAGCCTGCAAAATACTTTTAATATGTTGTGATATTGTCGTTTTGGGTCAAGTCCGTATGATTTTTTTAAAAGGTCTTACACAATTAAAAGATCCTTAAACATTGTATGTAGACTTTCAATCTTTTTAGCTACCAACGTGAGACTTTATTCGTAATACGACAATCTCCCCCTCAAACGAAGTTCCACGTGGTGCATGTGGTATCACCAATATCCGTGGGTCTCTTCATCGAACTAAGTTACACGTAGCCCATTATCATGACCGAGCCCCACGCCATATACTCGTCCTGTCAAACCTGGGCTTTGATGCTAGTTGGTGGGCTAAATTAGCCCAAAGATACTCTTAGCATGGTGTGATATTGACCGTTTTGAGTCAAGACCGCACGATTTTTCCAAAAGATCTCACACGTTTAAAAGATCCCTTATACTTTTTATGTAGACTCTCAATCTTTTTAGCTATCAATATGGGACTTTGTTTGCGAAAGATATTTATTTTTCAATGTTTGATGAGTTTTTACAGGTCAGTTTGATCTATATGCAGCCCAAACGCCCAAAATGACTTACCAAAGAATATATACCCAGTCTAGCTCCCCTCCCGTCAAGTCGAGTTATATTTTTATGAGCTAAATTTAACTATTAATGAATTCTCCTTTTCCCCCTTAATTTCCAAGTACGGGAAGGTATGTGGGAGACTCTAGTCCACAAACTGCATAGTTTCGAAGAAAATAGATAGTCATCCACGTCTCTGTTTTAAAAAGCGTTTTCGGGGCGAGTCCCGGGGCGAGACGTACCAAAAATGTCTCGGGGCGATAATGTGGGGCGAAAGTCTCAAGAGGCATACGCCCCACAATTTGGGGTGTACGCCCGGACGTTCGGGGCGCGTTGTTTTAGTAAGGAGTAAGTCCCAGAGACTTTTTTAAATTAAAACAAAATTTGTTGAATTAGTCCTTCGTATAATACCCAAATTCTCAAAAGTCAGTTTGATAATTACTCAAAAGGTTTAAAAAGGAACTCAAAAGTATTAAATTTAAAAGTAAAGACCCCTTTTTATTGATTTAAGCCCTAATTCATGATTTTTCCAATTTTTTATCTTGTCCGCTAGTCTGCTAATATCTCCCAAAAGCAACGAATATTTAATTATTTTTACAAATACAAAGAGAACTACATTCTTCTTCATAGCAGCAAATTCAAAGTTCAAATTGCAGGTCATCATTTTTGTTCCTCCATATAGAAAACTCTATTCTTTGACTCAAATTACTTGTGCTTGTAAGTAACGTATAATAGATTGTTTTGATTAATTTTTTGTGGGGATGGAGCACACATATATATAGTTTTCTTCAATATTTATGCAATTTTACTTATTTATAAATATTTACTGTCATTATATTATTTTATAAAATATTAAACACTAAATACCTATGAGGCTTACGCCCCACGCCTCGGGGCTTATGCCCCGCTAAGGCATATGTAAAACGCCTCGCCTTACGCCCACGCCTTTTAAAACACAATACCACGCTCATTCGTGTAGAAAAGTCAATCTTGAGAGTTGGACAATATTGCTCATCGTATATAGTAGTGATTAGCATCAAACTAAAGAATGCAAATTTAGCATGAGTAAATCTCTAATAAGTGTTTTAGAAATGTCCATCTTTACATCTCTCTTATTTTTCTTGGTAATTTGCCCATTGCTTAGTTTAGAAGACAGACTAGAGGGTTGTGAGGATTCTTGGTGCAAAAATGATGGTCCTATCATTCATTTTCCATTCAGGCTCAGAAATCAACCAAAACATTGCGGCTATCCTGGCTTTGAACTACAATGCAACAATCAAAATGACACCATCCTCGAACTTCCTTTGTCTGTTCCCTTAATTGTTGAAGAAATTGATTATGTCTCACAGCAAATTCACCTTTACGATCCTAACGAGTGCATAATAGCCAAGCTATCAAAACTGAATTTATCACAATCTAATTTCAAGATTTTTGAAAATCCCACAGTCCTGTTCAATTGTTCTATACCATATGATTATGGTAACGTAGTTCCTTGTCTTGGTTCGTCTCGATACCAAGTACATGCTGTTTCTTCGACTATGTCCCTCTTATATTTTTTGTCCGGACCTTGTACAAAATTTCATCAGTACCCATACTCACAGTCAACATTTCTTGAGAACAGGCTGCAGCTGAATTGGCCTATACCACTCTGTGGAAACTGTGAGTCCAAAGGAATGGATTGTGGTTTCGTGGATAAAACTAAGCTTTTGGAAACTCATTGTTTCAATCGAACTATGACCCAAAAAGGTACTATTTATATGTCTTAGATTTTTTTTTTAAATTTTTTATATGGATAACAAAGCACTTAACAAAGACTCATCATTTTGTCCATAATATATAGGTATTACTAAGCAGCCCTTGCTTGCAGGTTAGTTTTCTCAAATTCTTCAAAGTTCTCACTCTGTCAATTTCCTTTCATACTTATGACATGTTACTTATTTAGTTTTGTAGGTGTCATTTTAGGTACAGCTCTTGTTTGCATTATTGTTTTTTCACTTTATCAGCTATATTTGTCCAGTAAAAATGAAAGAGATAGTCGAGTTATACTTGAAAAGTTTTTGGAAGATTACAAGGCCATAAGACCAACAAGATATTCTTATGCTGATATTAAGAAGATAACAGTTGATTTCAATGAAAAGTTAGGAGAAGGAAGTTATGGAACTGTTTACAAAGGCAAACTTTCAAGGGAAATCTATGTTGCAGTAAAAGTCCTACGCGAT